CACCACATGGGAGATATTACAAAAAATTATTGCAAGTGGTAGTCAGAATAGTCATATTATCCTTGAAGCATGTTGCAGCGTGATAAGAATTTATATATATATATGAGAAATAGGGATTAAAAAAAACAACTTCTTGTAGTGTCATTCACATCTGTACTATATGTTTAAAATGTATGCAAACCATGCATTTATTTTTCAGTATGCTTGGAAACCGTATTGTGTTTACATTGTAAGTGATGTGACATCACATATTGCAGCTCTGTCCAGGGTTTCCGTGCAGTGATAGATCACTGCTATAGTAATTTATCCCTGGTTGATTGCAACCTGCAGTAGGTAACTATTGGAACCAAACTGTTTTTGTGAAGCTGTACTGGTGGTCTGGATTAGGTCTCTCCCAACCAGATCCGGACCCCCTATGAATAAAAAGATTTAAAAACAAAGTTTAAAAAGTGTAAAATACAGCTATGCTATAGGAATTCGAACCAGGACCCCTAGTGCCGCAAAGCATCACTTGGTGATGGACGCCGGCAAAGAGGAGGGGATGTTCATCCGGTCGGATAAAATATCCCACCGGGTCCCCTCCTCTCTTGTGCAGCTGCCGGGCTCTCGATCCATATCTAAGTGTCTTACTTTTCAGAAGGGGTGACACCAAAATGACTGCCAGTCATTTTGGTGTCACCCCCTCTGAAGGTGTGACCAGGTGCAGGCTGCACCCACCACACCCCCTTGTGACACCACTGGCATTGGGGCAGCAGAGAGAGTAAATCCGGCCCTGCTGATACTGAGATACTGAAATGGTGGATACCATTGGTGAATAGAATAGATCTATACTTTCTGTACAATTTCATAGGTGGTTTTAAAAGCTTCTCCACATTACGGTAATGTTATCCTAAGATTCTCCAATGCCTTCTAATTGATAATATTAGTAACATAGAAAGTAAGGTTGAATAAAAACAGGTCCATCTAGTTCAACCTATGCATATTTGCATATGGATGTAAGTATGTATGTATGTGTGTATGTATATGCTTGGCTCTAGTAGTTACCATATCCCTGTATATTTAAGAACTCAAGAAACTCATCTAAATGTTTCTTGAATGTATCAATGCTATCAGCAGATACTACTGACGGTGGAAGGGAATTCCACATTTTTACTAAACGCACAGTTAAAAAAACCCTGCAAAGTCTGAGATTAAACCTTCTCTCTTCTCATCTCCTACCGTGTCCTTGTGTCATTAGTTTAGTTCTTGGTGTAAACATCCTATTCTGAATATTGTTGTCCCCATATTTTGAAAATCACAATTAGGTCCCCCCTCAAGTGCCTCTTTTCTAAGGAGAACAAATGTAATTTCTTGGGGTGATTTCTTGAGGCGATTACATTACAGGAGAACCTGGATAAAATAGGGGAGTGGGCAACTATATGGCAGATAAGGTTTAATGCCGAAAAATGCAAGGTAATGTACTTTGGAGTTAAAAATAGGCAAATGGGCTGTACAAATATGGGTATGCCACTAGGGAAGTCAGAAATGGAGAAAGATTTGGGGGTCATTGTAGACCACAGATTGAATAATAGCTTGCAATACCAGGCTGCTGTCAAGAAAGCAAGTAGAGTCCTGTCCTGTATTAGGAAGGGGATGTATTGCAAAGACCAGTCTTTAATTTTGCCACTATACAAATCACTGGTTCGGCCTCATCTGGAGTATGCAGTCCAGTTTCGTGTACTGCATACTTTTTTTCATTAGTTTTGAATAATTTTACGAATATTCATTGCAAATACCACAGAAAACCATGTAAAAATATTAATACTAAAGCTGAATCTCCTAGACCCGAATGGCATTCGGGATTTAAATTTCCGAATTGCATTCGGGAGTACTGGGATGCTGTTCGGGTCTGGGAGCCTCAGCTTTAGTAATATATGTATATGGCTCCCAGACGCAAATTGCATTTGGGAGCTCCCAAGTGCAATTCAGATCCCGAATGCCAATCAGGTCTGGGAGGCATATACATATATTACTAAAGTTGATGCTTCCACGCCGAATGGCATTCGGGAGCTTGCGATTGCAATTTGGAAAATCAAATCCCGAATGCCGTTCAGGTCTAGAAGCCTCAGATTTAGCATTATATGTATATACTGAACACAAATTTTCGTTACAGCATGTGACTTTTCTGGCCAATCAAATGGTTCCTATGTTGCCATAACGAAAATTCATGTTGAGACCCATTTGGATGCATTAAACTGAAAAACACATCTAATTGGCCAGAAAAGTCACATGCTCGATTCAGTTTAACTTTTTAACAAAATTCGGACAGGATACGAAATTCAGAAATGGAAATTCAGATTCAGACACATTCGGATGCATTGGGATTCAGAAATTCGTATGTGCCCGAATTTCAGAAAATTTGTCCGAATTAGGAACAAAACGAATCGCACATGTCTAGTTTTTAGCACATTACGATTTATGATGAGTCATTTAAGTTAACAGTGAGAAAAGATGCACAGGATGTATTAGGATAATACATCCAGCTCCAGCAGAAATATGCAATCCAAAATGTTTAATTATTTATATAATTTTTTTTTTTTTACAAAGTAACATTTAATGCAGAGAGCATCCATGAATCTGGATTTGCAGGGCACAGAGATAGCATGGAAGAAGCTGTTTGATTTAAAACTCTCGTTCTCTATTTAATTAAAAGTATGTATGGAGTTGTATAGGACAGACAGAAAAGAGAACAAGGGTGAATGAGTCACTCCTCCAACTGATTTAGCATTGTATGTCGTTTGATTTTGAGCTATTAAGCAGTACTTATGTTAAGGTACGGGTCTCATAAAGACTCATTGTTGCCAAGTTGACAGTCTTTTAGACTGAAGGTAGTACTACACTTTAAAACTTTTTTCATTAAGTAATCCAGATTAAACAACTATACATTGCCCAGCAAAGTATTTCTTTACATGTTTGTCCAAAAGTTACAGTCATCATGTTTCCAAACAGCTCCAACTCTCTCAACACAGCTTTCCTGAACTTCCTGCCTAGTACAAGATCACGAGGGACAGATCAGTCTCCAACAGCTATCATCTACTAGCTTGGAGAAGGGAGAAGGAAGGAAGAAGGTAGCAGGAAAGAGAAGTTGAGAGAAGGGAGGAGGGGGTGGCTTGGCTTGCTGTGCCTGTGTGTTTGTAGAGATTACTTACTAGCACACACAAGGGTGGCTCCATAGGACCTGCAAGGGAAAGAAGCCACCCTAAAACAGATTACAGGGGCAGTGTTTGGGGGACCGGCTAAATCTGCAGCAAGCTAGAGTTTTTACACATCAAGAAGCAGCATAGATTGTAAGTAATGTGATGAGCATTTGAAATAGGTTCAAAACCTTTTGACTTTAATATCACATTAATTGTAATTATTAAAGTGAATTTATACATTTTTTACATTACTTTTTTTGAAGTACAATTTACCGTTGTCATAGTTAAATATACTGTCAGGATTTTTCAGCTATTAGGCTCTTTTTTTCAGCAAAGCAATTATGATTAGCCTAGGGAAAAAATAAAAGGAGCTTAGTACACTGCTGTCCTGTAATAAGTAAATATTAAATATTCATATGCAGTATACTATGTTTACCTGATAAAACAATGTCAACATATTTTAAAATTATATTTTTTAAGTCCTGAACATACTGTTGTTGAGGAACAAAAATGATAGAGGACCCATACACCTTATGTTATTAGACTGTCAGTTCTCATGAGCAGGGTCCTCCAAACCCTCTTGTCTTGATTTATCTTGTAGGTAGTTATTTTCATACAAGGAGGTATGCGTAAATGAGAAGTACCACATCCTGATCATTTATATCGTAGAAAAAGAAGAAAAAGAGGGTTTGGACGTTTAAGGTACTCCATGGATCACACAAAACTTATTTAGTGTTTATAAAGTATAACAATTTTTTTTATAAATATATTTAAAATGCATGGTTTTAAAAGGAAGACAACAAAATTGCCTAAAAGAGACCATAGGATGTAGCCGCATCCTCCCACATTTATATCTATATTACAATACTTATTGCAATTTTCTGGATATCAGCTTCCTAGTTTCATTTGTAGTCCCGTGGGAGGAAAACAGATCTCAATGCATTTCACGGGTATACGCTTCTTCAGGAAATCGGCTACTGTCTTTCTACAAAAAAATAATATGTTTTATTTACAAAGAGTTCATAGTTTACCTATGCAAACGCATTTGAGTATTTAATACAGTTTGTTTGATTTCATACACTTACAATAGTCTGTAAAGATGGCTAGATCCACCACTGACTGTCACTTAATCATGGGCACGGACAGGGAGGGACCAGTAGAGACGGGGTAGAGAGCAAGGCAACCCCCAAGTCAAAGCAGGAAACTACAGAGGGAGAGAGGTTTCAGAAGAGGCCAGATTTTCTATTGAGTGAGAACATCTCAGAAATTCTTATTATTATTGAATAGATCACACCTATGAAAAACAATGAACACTCTTTAACCAGTTGACATCCGCGGTGTTAAACCCCCTTCCCATCCAGGCCATTTTTCAGTATTTTAAAGGGACCTGCCCAAATAGGTAAAAACAAATATAGTTTATCGTGTTACCTGGCATTATCCATTTCCATCACCGGTGTACCTTCTATAGCCAATAACTTGGGCTCCAAACACAGCCTCTAAGTAAGATCAATGAGGTATGTCAATATTACATACTGAGATAACGGCAAATCATTTAAAGGACAGGTACACAGGCCTCTAGGGCCTTTTCACAAAAGTGCATCTAATCAAAACAAACAAACAAAAGTCTCCATAAGCTTGTCTCTTACCATAAATATAGCCAGTTCTCTTTTCTTTACCTTCTCCTGAGCTCCAACCACCTGAGAGTGTCAAAACCCTCATCCCCTCTTATATCCCTACCCGCCGGACGCCAAAACGCCAATTATGACGTCACGTCCGACGTAGGGGGTGTTTACGCGCATTGTGCAAGCATCCGCACAAAAAGAGGCTTGACTTGCATGTACATAGGGGAAAGCTCAAAAACCAGTTAAAAAATTTCACTTCCTGTCAGGAAGTCCCAATTGAACATCCAAGAACGAAAGAATTAACCTTTATCCAGCCTTCAGCTATGAATGTACATTCCAAAGTTTATTCAAGCTTGGTCAGTCTTGAAGGGGGCAAGGCCACAAATGTACAAATTATCTAAGGTATCTAAACAATTCTTGATTTATCTTGACAAACTGATGGCACTATATACATCTAATAATAATTATTAGGGAGGCACCAATAAATCGGGCGCCGACACATGTCGGCTGAAAATGGCACTTTTGGCTAAATGCCGAAAGTGCAATTTTTCTGCCGATATAGTGGCACATCCCTGCTTTCTTTCCTCCCCGATGGGCGCTGCTCTGTGTCCCGGCGGGGTGGAGAGAAACTGTCACAGGTGGCCGAGCACTGCGGGAAGAGAGCGCTGTGAGCGGCCAACGTCTCTCCTCCCACACCGCTCTGCCTCCTGTCACAGATCGGCAGAACTGTATGTGGGTGGAGACAGCCAGCGCTGTCACAGGAGGCTGAGCTCTCCTCCCACACCACTTGCTCAGCCTCCTGTGACAGCTGTCAGGAAGGGGAATGAGGTACAAACACTCATTGATGGCTGAGTGTTTGTACATAATTGAGGACATAGTATGGTTACTATATCCTCAATTATGAATGAATGGGAAGTGATCTATATCACTTCCTGTTCATTCATGATTGTGTTTATTCATGATTGTGTTTGTTTATTCATGATTGTGTTCATTCATGATTATGTTCATTTATAACATGTGGACTCTGTCCACATGTTATAAATGAACAGGAACACTCAGTATAGAGGATTCCTGTTCATTTATAACAGAGGCTGCAGAAAAAGAGAGATTCTCAATCTCTTTTTTTATTTTAAAAGAGAAATATCAGGGGTCTGTTAAGACCCCTAATATTTCCCTGAAGCACCTAAAAGTAAAGTAAAAAATAAAAATATTTAATAAAAATAAAATATAATAAATTTAAAAGTTTATAAAAAATGAATAAA